CCCCCCCTTTGTGCTCCCAAAGGCAGCCTGGGTCACAGTCACGACATGCCTCTCTTCTGCTTAGATCTTTCATGGCGTCCGACTGAATTTAAGACTGTTGCTTGACCTACCAGGTCCCACACACCCTGGCTCTGGTTGATCTTGCTAACCTTGCTTTCTCCCAGCTCTGCCGCATGGAGCCATCCGCAGTCCTCGAACCCGCGCATCTGCCCCTCTCAGAGGCTCTGCCATCGCTGCCCCTGGGCCTTTGCGCTCTTCTTGACCTTGTCCGGGTTTCACTTAAATGGCACCTGAAGAGTCTCCTTTAAAACCCCTCCCACTCCCTACCCGGCTCCGCTATCTACTGGCTGTCACTGCACACAAACTTCTTCTGTAGCATTTATGACCATTGATAATGGTCTCATTTTTTTTTTCTCCAATTTTTATTCATTTATTTTGTTACAGATGTTTCTCCTTTTCCCCTCCTAGACATGCCCTCCCCATCCTGTCCCCCCCACCCCCCTAACATTGTTGTCTGTGTCCATTGGTTATGCATACATGCATATCAGTTCTTTGGTTCATCTCATCCATCCCCTGCTGCCCCCCTACTCTGAGGTCTGTCAGTCTGTCTCGTTTTTAACATGTAATAACTGATTGTTGTTCTCTTCGACCCCACTGTGAGCTCCAGGTGCAAACTGCCCACCTGCATTCCTGGTCTGAATCAAAAAGTAAACAAAAACTGAGGTGTGTTGGGGGGGCGCTACTCCAGTGACTCTTCCTGATATAACACAACATATACAACCTTGGCCACTTCCTCCTTTCTCTTCGCAGGACCAGCTGGTACTCTCCAGGAAGCGCAAGTCTGCTGCCTAAAAGTACAGCTCAGTACCAACCTTTCGACCCCTCTTTATACTGTGTTAGTCACCAAGGCCTGTTGGTTCTGGCATCTAATTATTTTAGCATTTTTGTCGTCCTCTTTTCTTTCAACAGCACCTCCCATCACCCCAGTCAATGTGCTCACGCTCCTTCCATGGGTCCCCGAAAAGCCCTCTCAGCCGTCAGTCCCCACGTACCCCTCCTTTCTGATGCACCTGCTCACGTCTCAACCTGCCCCTTTCACTTGCCAAAGAAGAAGAAAAAATCCATGTTCTGTCTTACAGTAGGTCCAAAACTCACAAAAATCAACTGTACTTTTCCCATCTGAATCAGTCAATAATATTTCCCATTATTCCTTTAAACAATTCCTCTGGTCCACTCGAATACTTACTTTCCTATCCCCAAAATAAATCAAGCTCATCCCTCTTGTATTTTTGCTTGGCCATGTCAGACTCAGAGGCTCCTCCCCCCTTTCAATCCAACCCAAACTTTCTCTTCAATCACATTCAACGTCTCTCGTTAACCTTGTCCTCCCAGTTCCAGCCCACAGGCTCCTTCCTTTTTCCCAACTCCCAGAGCCCTGAAACCATGGTCCCGTGTAACATGTGACTGCACGGGTTTCTGTCGTTCTGCGGTTATCTTATACGTGTACATTTTACCTTGCAAATTGCACTGCAGGCCAGGACCGGGTCCTGTCCTCCCCCAGCAGCCACAGAAATAGCACTGGTCCAACAGGAGCTACTTACACTGACTTAACAATTCACATGGTCCTGAGCATGACTCCCTTCAACAACAAACAGCACTTCTAGGTAACTGGCAACCCCCAAATAGAACATACTGTCTCTGACCCCCGATCGCACCCACATGAACCCCCGACGCCTGAAACGTTCCCTTTCACCTTTCCTCACATGGAAAATTCCTAATTATCTTTCTAGTCCCAACGAGGACTCTGAGTAAGGAAGGGGAATACTCCTTGCCCCTTTTCCTACCCACTCACCTACCCCAATATCTGTGTACAGCATCACTCCCATCCAGCCCCATTAAATGCTCTTCAACATACCTGACGTACTATGGCAAACGATTACTGGCCCATTAGTCCCTCGACTGGTCTGTGTGAAACTTAAGCTCAAGTCATTTACCTCTCATCATTGCAGTAGCAGAGTGATACTATTTTATTATTTGTTGAATCAACAAGTGAACAACAACGTGAGTCATGAAATCGATGGGAAGAGCTACAAATTTGGTATAATAGGTATCAACATAGTGTTACATCATTTCTAGTGAGCCACAGTTCATACCATTTACAACGCCTATTTGTTTTTAACTCCAAAAACAATGATCAAGCATCTACTGTGTGCAGGCACTGGGCACACAGAGAAGACTCCAACACATAAAAATCCCTTGACCTCACAGAACTTGCGTCTAAGGTGAGAGAGGCAATGAAGTCTGGCTGTTTGCTCTGGCAGAGTTAGAAACCACAGCGGGCTCCGAGCAGAGTGTCCTCTGAGCAAGGATGCTCACACGGATGGGACGCCGGCTTGGACCAACGTGGTAGCAGTTTGAATGGTGAGCAGCAGTTGCATCATGGGTCGCCTTTAACGGCTGAGCCAACAGCTCTGGCTGATGGACCGAAAGTGAGGTGTGAGCGAGAGAGAGAGGAGTCAAGAATGGATTTGAGTCTGTGCAACTGTGAAATAAAATTTGGGAAGGGTTTGGAAGGGTATGATTTTGGAAAGAGTATACAGACATAAGAAGAGATTCTCTAAAATTAGTCCTTAAATTTTAGCATTCCACTTTGTGCAACTGAACTTCCCTTGGATGTATTTCCAGTGAAGAATAAGGATTCCTCTGGCCTCCAAGGCAAATAGGTAACACTGAAGAGAAAAATCTTGGATAAGCGCAGCCAGGGCAGCTCCCTGAGGCACTGCCTGTACCAGGCACCTTATAAAACCCACTGTGATTTCTTCTCCAAAACCGCCTCCAGTTCTGTTTTTAAATGACTGATACAATGCCACGAGTGGGCGAGGTGACCATTTCTATCACCGCTAAAAACCACGTCCAGGCTCACACTATTATCGTTAGTATTAGCAATTATACTTTAAATTTTTAAATGCACACCTATAAAAGAAGCCAAAATGTTTACGCAGCGCTAGACCATAATCCAGTCCAAGGTCAGGGGAGGTGGCCTTGACCTAAGAGTACAAGCTCATGAAATGAAGGTGGATGACCTAGAATGACCTAATTCACCGCGGACGAAGGCCTGAGAGAGAACAGTAGGAGATTTGGGCTGCCAGGCAGCTACCTAAACAACCTAAATAATCCGTTACTGTGCTTAATGGCTATAATTTGGGGTAAGGCTGGTAATAATGGTTTATTTTATTTTTTTCATGTGTTGAAGGAGATGTCTGCAAAACTTACTGAATTTGGGATTCGAAAAATGAGACTGTTTATAAACATACGATGCAACAGTAAGTCTGTATAATGACTAAGTCTGTTGTGGAATAATTGAGTGGTGGTCATGATGAGTTATAAGCTGGACTTTTGAGTCTTCCCTGGGCAGAAACAAACCATTCTCACTCAGTCTGTGAGTTTTTTTTCCTTCCAGACTCTAAGTAGTTTATACAATAAACAGTCATTTCCATAGTAGAAATGACTAAGATGTCTAAGCTCCAAAGGGAACCTGTTATTATGGTGAGAAATCAAGGTTGCCATTCTTCCAGATTTTCACAGCCACATGACTTTTGACCTAGCTAACAGGAAGGTGAGAGTAGACACAGTGCCTTGACCTCTTAACAGAGGCAAAGGTCAACGTGCTAAGGTATTTATTTCATCAGCAAGTGATCCGGCACAAAGAGGCATCACCGTGGGTGCCCATAATGATGGGTCCCTACAAATTCCTCTCAAAGGGGAATTTCCAGCAAAAGTTCATCCATAAATTTTCCATGTGCTTGTCTTTAGGACTTGGCTATAAAGTACTGATTCGACAACCTTATATACTTCGTTTGTCATTGGCAGTGACATCAAAGAATAAAATTACAATTTTTAGAATCTTAATTCACACCCCCAAATCAGACATCAGGCCTGGGAGAGAAAGTGTCATTGGCAGCACACACGGAAGGGCAGAACTTGGTTTTGCACCTATATTTCCTTCCATTTAAAATTCCTTCATGCCTGTGATGACTCCGTTTCTTTCCCTATCTTGAACGGTGTGCTCCAGGCTGACCACTTTCCATTCAGCAGGGCAGGTGCCACTCCTCCTGGGCCCCACAGCACAAGTGCGGGCTCCCGCCAGGGGTCTGCCTTTATGTCCTCTGGATGTTTCTTGGGCACTGAGTGACTAAGAGAAGAGACGTCATCTACACATACCCATCCCGCTGCCTAGAAGGTGCTGAGAGTGTGCACGCTCAAGCCTGAACAGGAGGCCACCTTCCACTACGTGACCCTTTATCATGATAACAAGCAGAGTAGTTCAAAGGCAAAACGGCAAGGGTTTACACTTGAATTCTTTTTTGTAATCCTCATAGTTCAGTGTTAAATTATATATATGTGTGTATATATACATGTGTATATATCTATACACATATATATGTATGTATACATACACACACACACATATATGCTATTGGAAATATACATAATGTATAAAAAGCAAGCCCTAAAGTAATTATAATAAACATGCCTATAAGAATAGGACTATTCTGTTGAAACGTAGAGTTAAAATTTATAAATTGCAAAAGTTGATATCAAATCATGAAAAAAAGTCAAAATTGTATTCCAACCCTTTCTTTCTACAACCAAAGAATCAAAGATGCAGGATGATTTAAAATCACTTGCCCCCCAGCACATACACAAATCGTAATTTCAAGCCAGTCCATGAGGTTCTTCTCCATTAGTCAAATAGCTGCACTGCACTCCAGTTTCACGTGTATTCTGAACTTAACTCAGTATTCTGGAATGATAACCAATTCATTTCCAGCGTGCCTTTGTTCAAACCTTAAAACCTTCTTTCCCAAATTAATTTACTAAAATCTAGTTGTCTACCTTGCAAACACCATTTTGATTGACTGTTAAAAAAAAAATTCAAACAAATGAATCTTAGCTCACAAGCTGTATGAAAATTAAAAACAAAATAAGTTGTCTCCTACCTATGGTGGTAATAACAGTGCCAGCAAAGAAGAAGGAACTTCCCAAGTCCCAGTGACTGATTTGATTGGAGGTGTTTCCTAACGGTATAATCCCTGCATTTATTGCTGCCACTATTTGCTGCAAGTTTAAAAAGAAATTCATCAGTACACAAGAATCACACGGAGGCATCAAACAGCATATATTCCACCCCAGATGACAAGTTAGACAAAGAGATTCAATTCTAAAGGTTTGCGTTTCCATTTAAAGAATACAATATAGATTACAACTTTATACCAAAGAATGTAATAAATGTGATTATATTTGATACCCGTTGACTGGACCTGCATGAAGCTTATCATATTGTACCAACATGCATTCATATCATCCAGTAACATACATAGTGACTTATTTACGTTAACAACTAAATGTAGCAATGCATTTTTAGTAAACATCACAGATAAAATATCAGATGGCAAACTACAGTTTAATAAGATATTATAGCTTCATCAAAAAACACAAGTATTCCCAAAGTCCTAATCATTTTACATGTTAAACATACGTAGCCAAGCCTGGGATGTGTGTAACTAGAGAAAGTAGATATCAATAGGATCCAACAAAACAGGCTAAGATGAGCAGGAAAAGGCAACAGCAATTCACTATCAAATTAAGCAAGTCCCTCTACATCTAGATTCTCAGAATCTCTGCGGATTTTAATTCTAGGACAACGAGGATCACCAAAGACCCGTACATGACAATCAGTCAACAATATTCACACAGGGACTCTGGGATCTGGATGCTGCCTGAGGAATACAGACAGACAGACGATGACATTTTAATCCCTTGTTCAACCATCAGGTGCTGGGGAGGGAAGGGGGAGCTGCATAGGCACTAAACACAGAAGAGAAAATGTGCAGTAAAAGAGAAACAGAGAGATTGTTCAGGTGAGACGTTTCTGTTGGGAACAGAGTTTCAGAAATCTCCATTATTTAATCTACAGATTTTAAAATTAGAGGAAACTTCATTTGATAGGCAAAGAAATTAAAAGCTGAAGAGGTAAAGTGGCTTGTTTAAGGTTACAGTTTACTGGCGAGTGGACGCACCACCCAAGAAGTGCCTGCCCAGCGAGGTGGAAGGAAGCTGGTAATCCAGCGCTCAAATGCAGTATAAAGCCTCGTCCATCTCGTACACTTTCATCTATACATTAGAACTTCCATGGTTAATTGAATTGTAATGCGTTACTTTAACAATGACATATGTTTGCTGCAAAATAATTAGAAAAATACAGACAAGTATAAAGGGGATAATAAAAATTATTTGTAATTCCAGAATACAGAGATAATGGCCATTATTTTTACTTTTTTTTTTTCATTTATTTTTTTTTATTAATTAATTTTTGTTACAGATGTTTCTCCTTTTTCCCCCACTGATTCTCCTCTCCCCCTCCCTCCCCGCCCTGTCCCCAGTTTGTTGTCCATGTCCACTGTTCATGCATACATGCATATAAGTTCTGTGGTTTATCTCTTCCCCGCCACCCTCTCTTCTGGGGATTGTCAGTCTGTACCCCACTTCCACGTCTCTGGAACTACCCCATTCCTGTTATGTTCATTATATTCCACAAATAAGTGAGATCATATGATACTTGTCTTTCTCTGTTTGGCTTGTTTCACTTAGGATGACACTTTCCAGGTCCCTCCATGTTGTCTCAAAGGATAAGAGATCTTTCTTTCTTACAGCTGCATAGTACTCCATTGTGTATATGTACCACTGTTTTTTTATCCATTCGTCTACTGATGGATACTTGGGCTGTTTCCAGATCATAGCTATTGTAAATAGTGCTGCTACAAACATGGGGGTACATATATTCTTTCTGATTGGTGTTTCAGGCTTCTTAGTGTATATTCCTAGAAGTGGGATCACTGGGTCAAATGGAAGTTCAATTTTTAATATTTTGAGGTAACACCATACTGTTTTCCATAGTGGCTGCACCAGTCTGCATTCCCACCAGCAGTATACTAGAGTCCCCTTTTCTCCACACCCTCGCCAACACTTGTTGTTTGATGATTTGTTGATGGCAGCCATTCTGACAGGTGTAAGGTGATAGCTCATTGTTGTTTTAATTTGCATCTCTCTGATGATTAGTGATGATGAGCATTTCTTCATATGTCTCTTAGCCATTTGTATGTCCTATTTGAGAGATGTCTATTTAGTTCTTCTGGATAATGGTCATTATTGTATTAAGGTATCTACTCCTGGTATTTTGCTACCCTTTCTACATAGTTGGATTTATGAAATATAGGAAATGTATCCTCTATTTTAATTACTCTCCTTTATGGAGTTTTTCCTTGTCATTACCATAGTTGTTTAATCATTGCCCAATAAAAAGACATAATGCTATTCTAAAGTTTGTCTTATTAAAACAAATGGTGCTGTGGACATATTTGTGTACAAATATTTTTTCATTTTTGAGTATTTCCTGAGATTTCTATAAATGAAGTTGCCACATTTACGATTATGAATATTTTGAAGCACCTGATATGTAGCTATCCAAGAAGGTTGTTACAATGTACAATCCCTACCCCAACAATTTACAAATGCTTAGCAATACTCTTACCTCTAATATTAATATTTTATTTTTACCAAATAAGAATTATTTCACTTATATTCTTTATTGTGAGTAAAGTTGAACACTGATGTTTCCTTTACCATATATAAATACACACAGATACACATATATACACATATATTCGCAGTTCAATGAAACTAGTTTTAAGTTCATTAATTCTCCTTATCTGACTCTCTATTGTAACTTTAATATCAGTTTGAGCAGGTCTCCCTGACTGTTTCTTAAAAAATTTTTTTTTTGCAGTTACTAGCCTATTATTCTTGCACAAACTTTAGAAGCCTTTAGTTAAATTTCATAGAAATTTTCATTTCCACATTGTTTAACATATCTGTTGTTTGGATATATGTGAAATCTATACATTAATTAAGGAGAATAAACTGTTATAATAGTGAAACTTCCCATCAAAGAGCATGGTATGAATCTCCATTTACCATGGTATGAGTCCCCTTTAATATTCTGAAATAGAGTATTTTTATATACTTCACATAGGTCTGTAAGGTTATTCTTAGGTATTCTATTTTTTCCACTTTAAATTTTAACTCGTTATTGCTGTCTATTGCCCTTTCTCTGCACCAGCAATTCTCAATTTTTAAAATCTCAAAACCACTTTATAGTCTTATAAACTATTGACATCAATGAGCTTTTACTACATGTAAGTTATAACTATTGCTATTTACTACATTTGTTTGCATTTCTAATTTTTGAAATGTTTTGATTAATTCATGCAAAAACTAACAATACTCCCATTACACATTAACATAAGTAACCTACTTTTATTAAAAATGGTTGTTTTCCAAAACAAATATTTAGTGAGAACAAGGGCACTGTTCTATAATTTTATAAATCTCTTAAATGTCTGGCTTAATAGAAAACAGATTCTAATACATGCTTCTGCTTTTAATATGTTGGGAGAGAACAACACATAACCTGTGGAAAACTCCATTGTACACGCAGGAGACAATGAGAATGGAAAAGCAGAACAAACAAACTTAGTATTACTAAGAGTATAGCTTTGACTTCATCAACCCTCAACCACTGGCTTTTCCCTTTCTCATCACTGTTCTTATTTCTTTTGTTTAACTGATTCTGTTTTCTACCTGGAAAACCGAAGTAAGCAAAATTATAGATTACAAACAACAGCATTTTAACTCTGTGTCTTTTGATAGCAATATTTTATTGCTTTTCGTCGCTTATTACATTGCCCAGTATTCTTGAAAGCAATGTTAAAGAAAAATAATGAGAACAGACGTCTTTGTTTTTTGTCACATAAAATCCTCAGTGACTTTGTTTTATCATTCACTATATTGACCATTGAGCAAGAAAATGGTATTTAATTAAATAATTATGAGCACGAAAAAATGAAAGGGACATATCAGTAAAACTAAAAAAAATGTTAAATGTCTTTGGAAATATCTGAAGATGGGATCACACACAAGGTAAGCACAGGCTCAGCGATCTCTAGCCTTATAACTAACTCCAAGGAACAACTTATGCTTCAGTAAAAATCAAAGTGGGGGGGGTGGACTTAGATAAACTATAGTTGCATCCAAAGCATATTTTTATATTTTTTACACATTTCTTCAACATTTTCATTTATTTTTTACAAACCAATTGCTTATGGTGTTAGGCAATGGGGAAGCAAGAGAAGTAAAAACATGGGTAATACAGATGAGAAAAGATAAGGCATATCTTTAGACTCCACCCCATTAAGTAGAATTATTTTATTAACTAGAAGCAAGCTAATTCCTCCAACAACTGACTGAATATAACCTTCATGACCAGCACCATCATTTTTTTTTTTTAGCCTGTTCTTTTGCTTGTTAATGATGAGGTGCGACATTACCCAGACACTTGGATAAGGTCCACAAATTATTTAAATGCAAAATAAGCAAATGTAGACTTACAAACAGTTATGCCTGGCAATGTGTGGGTTGGAAATGGTTATCACAGAGCTGTGATGGTTGCAACAGAAGCCTGAGATGGAACTGAGACTATGTCAAATCACTGTGAGAATGAGTCTACCATGAGGTCCTTTTTCTGGAGTCCTCTGGTAAATTTATTTTATATTTTTGTACAAGTTCCCTTTGTCAACTCCCACAGGAAACTGAATGCCCTTGGCCAGTGCACGGTCATACATCTAAGAGTCTCTGCAATTTCCACATCAATTCAGGCCATCCGATCATTTCACAAATACCTTCATGAGAGCTGTTTCTGTATCTGCCATATTATGTGACTAAACAATCACTTCATCAATAATAAAAAGTCACTTTCCCGTTAAAGGAAACTTTTGTGGACAATCAAGTCATGTTGGCAACTGATGAATAAGTTGAACTGTGTAGGTTCAGGTGAAGTGAATGTTGGGTCCTACGCATTTAATCCTAATATATTATTACCCGGGGTTCCAAACCTAAAATCTACAATAGAAGTAATAGATCTTGGTTGGATTCACACTCAATTTTGCTCTTCAGCTTAAAGTCAATAATAGAATGTGCATAACAAAAAGGAAGTTGAATAT